TTGTTCTCTTATTTTATATTGAATGTATACAAACAGAGGTTTTTTTTTCTTTTTTTGTATTGTTATTCCTGGCAATGACAGGTGTAACCTGTTGAAAGCTTAAATAAATATATATGATTTTTGTTAAAAATCAAAATTATATTCTTCGTAGCAGTCTTATAATCATTATTCGCTTTTATACTTTCTACTGTTGTTCAATCTCACTTTACAATAAAATAAAACTTAACAATAAAATGTTTTTTAATCATGTTCGTGATAAGCAGAAACTTCAGTTATAATTAAGCATTGTTCAATGTCAAATACGATGCAATGCTTAATAACATGACCAATTTCAACAATATCAAATATATCACTTGGTTCTTTGGAAACAATACTGAAACAACTGTCTAATGGTTTTTTTAATAAATCAAAATAAGATGATGACTTAAATAAAGAACTAAATTTGTGCATATTTTGAAAGCGTTCAATAACAGCATATGTTGTATCTTTGCAATAAAAAAACAAATGAATGAATCCAAAGTATTTTTCATTATTATTTGTTGATTTATAGTAGCTAATAAAATAGCTCTTTGATTTTGTTCGTCGTTTATATAATAAAGAATGAAAGGTGTTGTTTCGAATAATACATCGACGATAAATGGATATATATTTTGAAGTATTTAAACATTTACATATTCGATTATGATATTGTATAATTATTGAATAATTATCGATGATAAAATTAGTATCTAAATCTATTGGTTTATAATATATCTTATATTTTGTTTGAGGTACTCGATTATTTAAAGAAAAGTCAATGTTATAATAATGAACTATTTGGTCATCGTAGTATCTTGTGCCATGAGTATTGGAGCTAATATGGCCTAAAAGATCTTCTTGAGAAAAACATTCAATATTTGCCAGCGATCCATAATTAACATATTGATTGCCATAATGAGAATGTAAATGAAGAACGTAGTTTTGAATAAGATGATAAAATTTTTTATGATCTTTATTATATTGTTCGAATAATCGATTTGCTATTGTTGCGGTTTCTCGACCAAACATTGGAGGTTGAGAATGATATACACGAATAGAACATATGAATAAAGTGAAATGAGCTAATTGTTCACGATTCATAAATTCATATGATAAAGGTAAAAATCCATACAATAAAATATTACGTAATTCAACAGCCTTTATAAATGATAAATTCTTGAAAGGTATCATACGTCGATTGAAAAAATGTGGAAAACATTGATTTTTCAGTTTAATATCAATTAATCGACGATGAGAAGGATTAAGTTGTTTATAAATTGTACGACGGGTTGTTTTTGCATGTCTAAGCAAACTGGCATGTTGATAATCAATTATTATTGCTTCTGGAAGTTTTGTATCAAGTATATTTTGTAAAATTGAAGTACCTGCAACAAAAAAAGAAAAAAATTCCTATGTTATTCAAGAAAAAAAATCAGGTTGCTTCACATGATTTTTGCTATGAATATTTTCAATATGTTACTTTCATAAACACTTGGAAGAGGACTTGTAATTCGTTTTTTTACTAAAACGTTTAAAAAAACGATTCTTGTTGCATTATAAATCTATAAGTAGTCTCCGTCGGACAAAAAAAAACAACCTTTTTCTATTAGCTCGTTCTCTATAGTTCATCGTTAGATCTTTAGTTTCATATACATGGATAGAGCGTGAGTTAAACTACATATATATACTGACAAAGACAATCCACTAACTTACTAGCTCAGATTTTTTAGACATATACAAAAAAGTCTGATTTTCATAATATTGAACGAATACAAATAATACTGGGTTGTTAGATAAGTTCTGCGAGTTTTGTAGAAAAACTGGAAACTTTATATCTCATGATTAGATAAGGATAGAGGTCTGAAACTTTTAGTGCAGGTAGACCTCTATCAGCTCTATCTATACTAAAAATTTCAGACCTCAATCCTTGTCTTACAACCCAATATTATTTGTATTCATTCAATATTATGAAAATCAGACTTTTTTCTATATGTCTAAAAAAAAATCTGAGAGAGTAAGTTAGTGGATTGTCTTTGTAATTATATATATATACATATAGTTGAACTCACGCTCTATCCATATATATGAAACTAAAGATCTAACGATGAACTATAGAGAAGAACGAGCTAATAGAAAAAGGTTGTTTTTTTCTGTCGGAAGGAGAGTGGACACAATGCGGCATTTCTTCATTTAAATTTCTTTAAAAGACTCAGGAGGAAACTACCCCTACGTGACATCCACTGTTTGAGACCATATTGGACCCACAAGGAGATCTCAGTGAGGCTAGTAAAAGCCTAAAAAGGTTTGATCCTATAGACCTTCGGACCCGAGTTATGACCGTTTTACTGAATTTTCGACCAATTTTTAGATAAAATCTAAATGATTTGTATACATTTGTTTTCCAATCCTGTCTTTTCATCCGTTTGTAATAAACTGTGAAAGACACAAGATTACATTTAATATTTTTATGAAGGCTGTATTTCATGGTTATTGATTCTATTATGAGAGTATACTAACATGTAGCTTCTGATCAAAAATGATAAAATACAGGATATCTTTGATTCTTAGGAATCTCAGACAATAATAATGCAAATTTATTTCTTCCTTATTTCTCAATATATTGCAACTGAAGATCCCGAAAATAGTAACTTACCTTTATGTCCATATATAATTTCTTTAGTTTTTTCAGCTTCTGCTGATTCTTTATCATATGTTGAGCTATAACGAAGAACCTGTTCTTTTTCATAAAAATATTGTCGTTTTCTTTTAATATGTTGACCACGTATATAACAGAAATTACAGCAGAAATAACCTCCATGTCCAATAAAGTTAAGAATATTCCGTAAAGCTGGACTATCACCGGTAATAGATAAAAATTTGACATCAATACGATGATTGTGATCGATTGTAATACCTAAAATAAATAAAGGAGAATATTATTTATTAGATCATATAAAGATTTTTATTGATTATGTGACACAGAGCTCATTCATACCTTTCAGAGTACTGATTAATAAATCAAATACACGAGACAACAAGGAGTGAATAAAAGAAAGGAAGTACAAAAACATACGGTTTTAGTATATTTGTAAAATCTTATCAAAATTTTCTTTTAATTTGTTTAGTTTTATTGTCTTCCGTCGTAGGTATATAAATGGTGGGTTTTAATTTTTTCTAGTTAATGATAGTGAGGGTAAACTTAAAATTTTCTGATAAGTCTAATAACGAACCAATTACAAATCAATATTTTTTTTGTTCTTCTCATATATACATCAATAGATCAATTACAAACTGTTACAAGAAAATAAATGAATACTTTATCAGCAACATCTATCGTAAGTTGCTGAAGAAAAAAATAAATAGGAAAATAAAAGTTACTTTACAATAAACCAAAATATTCTCCATTCTTTTAAATAAAGCCGCATATGAAGTCGTTTCATAGATATCAATTATAAGTTAAGGACTATATTTTTTCCAGGTATTCAGGTACCTACAACACTCATACCAGTTTCCACCAATTTCCTTAGGCTATTCGACTATCATACACTCATCTCAAGATGGATTGAAGCTCAAACTTCTCGTTAAAGTATCATACATTTCTTCATGTTTTTTTTCCCTTTGTCAGGCAATTTTCATATATTCACTGAGTCGTAAAAAAAGGAGATTGTTTCATTGATGTAGCTACCTTTCATTTTGATAAATTTGATTAAATTCATGCAATTGATTAACCAAATTTGTGCATCTGGTTGAGTATAACTAAACCATAATGAAAACAGCACCATATTGTAGCGACGATTTCTCAGTTGTGGTCTGAGCTCTATTATCGATCCACTAAAAAGCCACATCTTCAAGTTAGATGACTTTGAAATTTTTATTCCATCTAGGTGAAGTAAAAATGTTATAAAAGTTTTATTCATATTATCTTTCAATAACTGTTGATAAATTTTGTTGAAACCAATATCATTCGTTTCATCTCTATCATGCATTGTCTGAAGATGTTCACGATATTCATCAATGTCCATTTTTAAACGAATATAGATCTTTTTAATTAATTGTTCCACGTTCATATCATAAACTACAGCTAAACATTTATGATCAGAGCATAAACATTTTAGACAACAAATATCCGAACAAGATAAAATATTGTTACATATTGTACATAGCATATATTTTTTCAGAAGATAATTATCGATTTCTAAGAATTCTAAAAGTTGTTCTATTCTCGTTGGTACAGCATTAGGTATCGGAAATGTAGAACGGATAAAAGATAAAAGACGATTAGCATGGGATTTAGAGATATGAGCATCTCTTAGTATGTTTAATAACGTCGAGCAAAACTCTTCTCTTGACATATCAGTATAGCAATGTAATAAAACTTCATCAATTGTGGATGAATCATTGGATAATTCCAAATTATCGAATGAATTTTTGCAGACTTGAGAACAGTTCATGGTGTTGCTCTGTATTTCTTCAAGATTGATTATATTATCTTCATCTTGAGCATCTTTTTCAAATAAAACTTTCGATAAACAATCATGTACTATTTTATCAGTTGATTCTGGATTTGTATTCATATTAAGTGTAAGTGTTGAAACAACATTGGATAATTCATCACTAACATGAGACGATACATTATTAATCAGTGATGATTCATAATATACTCGACGTTTTTTTCTGCTATTCTCAGTACGCTGTTGTATTTTTCTGCAATGTTTATGTTCAGCGAAATTAAGAGCTTGTTCAAGATCAAAACTCATCTACAAACAAGCAATATAATCTTCGACGAAATGAAATATCAAAAATAAAATTAACAGTCAAACTGTATAACTAGGGAAAAGCTTATATAAACCACAAACGTGGTCACTTCACAATACAATTGTTTGTTCTCTTGTGTACATGATTACAATCAAGTACTATACATACTATGGATAGTAAGAAGAAACAATCTCAATCGAACCGAGAGATGTCTCTAGACGAAAGAAAACTAAGTTGAATCAGCACTACGTAAATCAACGGCTATGTCCGTGATTGTGTCATACTAGCGTCTCTTTTCATTCACTAGTACAAAAGTTAAACCAAAAATAGTTCCTTTCAACTTATTGCATTTCAATAAAATACCAATCGGCGAATTCTACATGATGCAAAAACAAAATAAATAAAGTAAAAAAACATATTTATTTCATTCTAATTCTCTATGGTCCATCGCCTCCATTTTGAAAACTTATGCATAATTCATAATTCGTCAAACATTATTATATGATAGATAATTTCATTGTGACTAACAGCTTCAACTGTCACTCCAAAACTTCAAACTGATTAGGACTTCCAACTCGCCTGCGATAGAACCTTTGACTACAATCGATAATACTGAAACATCAGTTCACGACTATGTAGCATCATCCTGAATGCTTATTTCTTCATTATACACGCTTTCACGTACTCTATCCAGTTAATCTCTAGTATCCAATGCAATCAATACATGAAGCATTACTTCGAATTCAGGACATACACAGCCGTCAAATTGTGATTTAATCTATAAACTACATCATCGAATACAAACAGTCCGATTTTTCATCTTTCACAAAATCTGACCACTTGCCATCAAATTATTTCATACATATATTTCCGTATATTTCAAATCACAGCATTTCATGCTCATTGCCCATTTTGCCACGAAACAAACTTCTAGAACGGAAGCATATCTACACCATCCGATACATACAACACGATTTTCCTCTAATCCCAAAAGGAGATAATTCATTTTCCATCATCTCGACGCTTTTCCCCACACTAACCCTATTCTACACCGTTGCTACCCACCGCATAAACGAAAGCTCCCCACCTAACGTTCATATCTCCACTCCTATACAGATCATATTTGTCTATCGTACTCGCTGAACAAATATACAACACGATGCTCATCAGTCGTATGTCCAAAACATAATCTTCAATCATCAGTTTTACTTATTCGGAAGTTTCAAAAAAAAACAGCAACCATCTATTCTACTTAAGAGTATCCTGGCATCCTATCCAAATCATATTCTTCTATGCTCAGCATCCAATCACGTTATTACCGTCACAAAGTGTACATATCAAACTCTGAAACTAATCATTCACTCCTCACTTCTGCTGACTTTCAATGGTCGAATATAAAAACATTATGCAATTGAAAAATTACATTAGACATCATATCGAAATCATATATTGCCATCGTCTTTTCTCAATCAAATTCGCCTATAGACTGTCTGGGGACACTATACCTAAAGTGAGTATCCCATGCTCACTTTTGCTCACTTTCAAACATCGAAAATGATTAATATTACGCCATTCAAAAATTATCTTTCAGATCGTATCGAAATTATATATTGCCATACATTTTACTCAATGAGATTTAACCATCGCCTATCTGGAAAGGCTTTACCGAAAGCGAGCATTCAATGCTCACTTTTCCTCAATTCCAAACCTCCAAAATGACAAATAATATATAAGTCCAAAAAATCATATTTCAGATCCCATCCGAATCATATACTCCGCGCTTTTCCTGCATGACATTTACTTATATCGTGTCCAGGGACACTTTACAAAAAACATGACCATTCAATGCTAACTTTGGCTCCTTTTCAGACCGCGAAAAGGATTAATATTATGGAAATTCAAAAATTATATGCGAGAACGCATACAAATCATATATTGCGACGATTTTCGCTCAATCAGATTTTTAACTATGCCCCCCTGTAGTGATGCGTTACCAAAAAGTGAGTATTGCATGCTCACTTTGCCTCATTTTCAAACTTACAAACATAAAATTTTATGCAACTGAAAAAGTATCCTTGAGATCGTATCGAAATCAATTATAGGGATGATTTTCGCTCAATGAGATTTTTACTGTGCGCCCTTGTAGTGATGCCTTACCAAAAGTGAGCATTGGATACTCACTTTGGCTCACTTTCAAACTTAAAATAATCAAATTTTATGGAACTGAAAAACTATATTTGAGATCGTATCGAAATCATATATTGCGATGATTTTCCCTGCACGACATTTTTACGATACCGCTCTCTAGTAATGCTCGACCAAAATTGAGCATAGAATCCTCACTCTGCCTCATTTTCAAATTTAGAATAATCAAATTTTATGCAAAGTAAAAAGTATGTTTGACATCGTATCGAAATCATATTTCGCAATGATTTTCGCTCAATGAGATTTTAACTATACCGCTCTCTAGTGATGCTTTACCAAAAGTGAGCATTGAATGCCCACTTTGGCTCATTTTCAAACTTAGAATAATCAAATTTTATGCAATGTCAAAAGCATATTTGAGATCGTATCGAAATCATCTATAGCGATGATTTTCGCTCAATGAGATTGTTACTATACCGCTCTCTAGTCATGCTTAACCAATAGTGAGCATTGAATGCTCACTTTGGCTCATTTGCAACATAGAATAATGGAATTTTATGGAATTGAAAGGAATATTTCAGATCGTATCGAAATCATATATCGCGATGATTTTCCCTCAATGAGATTTTTACTATACCGGTCTCTAGTGATGCATTACCAAAAATGAGCATTCAATGCTCACTTTGGCTCATTTTCAAACTTAGAATAATCAAATTTTATGCAACATAAAAAGTACATTTGAGATCGTATCGAAATCATCTATAGCGATGATCTTCGCTCAATGAGATTGTTACTATACCTCTCTCTAGTCATGCTTAACCAATAGTGAGTATTGAATGCTCACTTTGGCTCATTTTCAAACATAGAATAATGAAATTTTATGGAATTGAAAAGTATATTTCAGATGGTATCGAAATCACATATTGCGATGATTTTCGCTTCATGACATTTTTACTATATCGCTCTCTAGTGATACTTTACCAAAAGTGAGCATTGACTGCTCACTTTCCCTCACTTTGCAACTTAGAAAAATCACATTTTATGGAATTGAAATATTATATTTGAGATCGGCTCGAAATCATGTATTGCGATGATTGTCGCTTTATGAGATTTTTACTATAGCGCTCTGTAGGGATGCTTTACCAAAAGTGAGCATTCAATCCTCACTTTAGCTCACTTTGAAACATAGAAAATCAAATTTTATGGAATTCAAAAAGTAGATTTGAGATCCTATCGAAATCATATATTGCGATCATTGTCGCTTAATGAGATTTTTACTACAACGCTCTGTAGTGATGGTGTACCAAAAGTGAGCATTCAATGCTCACTTTACCTCAGTTTCAAACTTAGAAAATCAAATTTTATGGAATTGAAAAAGTATATATGAGATCGCATCGAAATCATCTATTGCGATAATTTTCGCTTAATGAGATTCTTACTATAGCGCTCTCTAGGGATGGTTTACTAAAAGTGAGCATTGAATGCTCAGTTTTGGCTCATTTTCAAAGGTAGAAAATCAAATTTTATGGAATTCAAAAAGTTTATTTGACATCATATCGAAATCATATATTGCTATGATTGTCGCTTAATGAGATTTTTACTACAGCGCTCTGTAGGGATGGTTTACTAATAGTGATCATTGAATGCTCAATTTGGTTCCTTTTTGAAAGTTAGAAAATGAAATTTTATGGAATTCAGAAAGTATATTTCAGATCGTATCGAAATCAGATATTGAGATCTTTTTCGCTCAATCAGATTTTTACTATGCTCCTCTGTAGTGATGCTTTACGAAAAAGTGAGCAGTGAATGCTCACTTTTGGTCATTTTGAAACTTAGAAAAATTCAATTTTGTCGAACTGAAACAGTATATTTGAGATCGTATCGAATTCATATATTGAGATCTTTTTTGCTCAATGAGGTTTTTACTATGCTGCTCTCTACTGATGCTTTACCAAAAGTGAGCAGTGAATGCGCACTTTTGCTCACTTTCAAGCTTAGAAGAATCAAAAATAAAACTCAAAAAGTATATTTGAGATCATATTGAAATCATATATTGGGATCTTTTTGGCTCAATGAGATTTTTACTGTGCCTCTCTGTACTGTTTCTTTTGCAAAAGTGAGCATTGGATGCTTACTTTCGCTCACTTGCAGAGGTAGAAAAATGAAATGTTATGGAACTGAGAAGTATATTTGAGATCGTATCGAATCATTTGTTGTGAGGATCTTCGCTCAATGAGTTTTTTACTATGGGCCTCTGTACTGATGCTTTGCCAAAAGTGAGCGTTGAATGCTCACTTTGGGTCAGTGTCTAAGTTAGACAAATCAAGTTTGAAGGTTTCCTTTTGGAGGGCATCGTGGTACTGGAGAATGGCGCCTCGTAGGTGGTCTAAGGTGATCTGTGGTCCGTATTTGTGTTGATAGGATCCGAGACGGGATTGCTTTGGAAACTGACGGCTTCCGTGGTGACAAGGATCGGATCGGAGGTGGTTTGTGTCGGATTCGTTGTAGTGGCTTCCAGACCCTATTATGTTGGAAAAGAGCGGATTGGCGTGTTCAATCGGCTCCGAAAGCTATCCGACAGGATCCGATGCAGCGTGGTAAAAATTGTAGATGATGGGATCCGACCTTCGGATCCTCCCGGAAAATATCGGATCCATACCGAATCGCTCCGAAATCGAACATCTTCCGTTAAAAACCGATGGGATCCGCTCCGGTTTGCATCGGTATCCTGTGCAAAGGAATCCAGACAGGATTACGTCGGAAAATATCCGTTCAACGCATTCAAACGGATTTGATATCCGTCCGACAGGAGCCGACCCAGCGACTTTGCCTTGGGTACTTTATGAAAAAATTTTTT